GGTGTATCCATATAAATGGCCCACCCTGTACTTACTCCAGAGATATGTTTCTTATTGCGCATTTATACAGCAAATCTAAAAGTTACCATATCTTTCTCTGTCTTTTTTTGCATGTTTTCAATTATTTTTCTAGCTCCTCAGTCTCTGTGGCAACCAGCAACAATAATGGGACCTTCATCGATTCACTCAAAATGAGTGTTTTTAACGTAGGTATAAGTTATCAGTCAGCTCATGAGGACACAAATCAAATGTGTTTCTAATGACTTGGGTTACTCTGACACTCTTTTTTTTAGGACTCCAACTATAACTATCCGTTAGTGGTGCCTGCAACAGGACTTGAGCTGCGAACCAAGATATATGTGGAGGTCGAGGCTGATAATCTGACACAAAAGTAAGTAAATGCCTTTCGGATGCTCATAACGAACTCATCAGACTTCATTCCTGTTGATTCAGTATTGTCTTTTTTTTAGTTTCAATTTACTCTTGGATCGTTGTTTTGCTACTCCAACTCCTTACAATATGTCACAGAGCATGCAGTATGACTTCTTCATTGGGTAAGAAAGCACACACTAGCACAGTGTAACTGTACATTAAGATATTTTCATGTCTCTAATAAAAAAAAAAAACACTTTCCACCAGCTGCGATATAGCTAACAGGACGACTGTGACGAGCAATGGCGTCTCCACGGTTGCCCGGTTTAACTTTGAGGCCTTCCGCTTTGTTCAGCACCATGACCAGGCAAAGTCCAGCATCTATGTGCACTGCATGCTGAGACTCTGTGAGCCTAGCAAATGCCAACAAATTCAGGTAATTTCAAGTAAGTTGAAAAGTCAAGAATGAACGCATTCTTTGAAACAGCAGATAAAGTCATGGTAGAGAAAAGATACCACAGCCAATATTTAATAATCTATAATCTATAATATATATTACTTAATGGTTTTATAGAACTTGGCAGGAAAGAGGTTGTTATTTCCACCAGCAACACTTTGTGGTTCACAGTTGGGCCACTAAATCCCTGGTGCTGTATGCTCATCCCTATCTTAACATGTATATCATAAATCCATAGTTTCCACATGTTTTGTGTTAAATATTTTCAGAATTGTGCTAATAACAGAAGAAAAAGGTCTTTGGTTCCTTTTGGTAAAGAAAGCAGCGAATCAACTACCATTTCAGTCGGACCTCTTTACATGGCTAAAGGTTTGAAACATATTTTTATTCTTTTCTTGCGATTTTCCAAGAATACTTTTTAAGTTTCTCACTTTCCATTTTTCTTTTACTTTATTAAAGACTCTCCCAATGCAGAAGACAGTGAGTATACTTTAGTTAGACTCATAAATACATCTTAATATTGTTTCATAATTCAAAAAGCAAACTTAATTCATCTCTTCTTGTGTGCATCAGGTAATACCGTGACTTCAGGCAGCGATGGCCATAACATGACAGGCCTGACTGTGTGCCTGCTGTCCTGCTGGGTCTTGGTGGCTGGTTTGTTCTGAAGCTGTTTAATTGCACTGAACTGACAGATCAACCAGCCAATTCTCTTTGCATTGTCACCTTGTACAATGCTGAAGCTGCATAGTGCTGTAGATTGTGAGGTAAAATCTGATAATGTTGTAGTTTTCATCCTATTAAATATAATTTTGTATCCATACTTGCTTGTCAGTTGTGAAGGGAAAGTCAAACTTGAACTGTAAAGCAATTAAAAAACAAGTAATTCTGATATTTTATGGCAATAGAAATAAATTTTGATTATACTTGTCTACAATATTTTTTTTTCTGTAAGATGTCTTCTATAGAATCTCAACTGCTTATAAGCAAATAAAGTATATGCGTTAAATAAACACAAACAAACAAAGAAACTCAGAGACTCTGTGACTGACATGCAATAATTAATTGACAGAAAAAAGGGTCATTTGTACAGTGTCATCAATACCTTTATGAAAAGGCAGCGATATATATATATACATATATATACATATTGACAGTTCCTCACTCGGTCACATACAGAATGAAACAAATGCATCAAATTCACACTTTCAGACATATTTACAACATACTCACTGTGCTGCTACAATGGCAACAAACAAATAAATGAAAAGGAATACAGATTTCTGTAGTCACTGCATTGACTGCATAATGTCCTGAATCAAAGCTGAGAGCTTTACTGAGAAGTCCTCCCGCAAAGAGCCACTTTGGAGTGTAAATGAAGAAGTCGCGCTGGAGGCTCTTGGGACCACAAGCTCCTTTTCCAGCCCTGTAAACAGCCTTTCCATTCGGGCTTGAAGCACTTGGACCTCCATGGATGCATTTTGGCAGAACTGCTCTATGCTACTTCTCATTTCTGCCGTATGAGGTTGTGCAGATTGTAGCACTGCAGAAAGCTGTACTTTCAGGGCCTCCACTCTGTTCCGTGCCTCCTCTTTAAGTGAACTCACTTCCTGTCCCAACTTGGAGCTCATTTCCAGCCATACATTTGATGTGCTTGGCTCTTCTTCACGATCACTAGTCTGTTTCAGATGTTCAATCACTCCACTTGCTTTGGTATAAAAGTCACTGATGGTGTTAGCAAACTTAAAACTGCTGTGCTCCAGGGATTGGCTGATTAACTCGAAGGCTTCCTGATACAGAGACGGACTGGCCTCCTCCTGAGCCTCAGCTGTTTCTAAAGCCTGCAGATAGAGACTCAGCTGGCTGCACAGATCTTGGCTGTTGCTACTAAGAGAGCCTTGGAGCTGCTGAGTCAGGGGAGTTAAGCGTTCTCTCATGCTGGCCAGGCGGGAACTGAGATGTGCCGAAGATGGGGACAGCCTCTCTCGCAGCTCCACCAGCTCTTGACGCAGACGGATGCGCAGGCGCTCCGACTCCATGGTGAGCTTGCGCTGCATTTCCTCTGCCACAGGGTTGTCATCATGTTCTTGGTTGTAAAGTGCACTGCTGTCTATGCTGCTCTTGTAAACCTTTCTGCAGAAATCAAGAAAGAAGAACTGAATTATAACATGTGAAGACAGGTTATATGCTACAAAATAGTAGTAAGCAAGTATTTATATTTGCATATGTCTTTAGACACTGAAGATATGGTCGTTCATGAAGACAACTTACTGCAAATCTTTTGTGAGGTCTGCCTTGTCATGAGCTTGGTTGGTCTTTCCATCAGACCTAGTTGGCTCTCTGCTGTCACTGTGTAGTGGGTATCCTATAGTTAAAAAAAAAGAAGCATAAATCTCCATAAATAAAGAATCACATGGCAAAATGAAGAAAAAGGAGGAAAGGAGGAGATAAACGTACCTGAAGTTGTCAGGAAGGACACAGCAAAGATTACAACTTTTAAATGCATGTTCATCTTTCTGTAGAAGGACAGACCATAGAAAAATATTTGAATTTTACCCTCAAAACATATAACTATAAGAACTTTTCAATATATTCTTCTCCCAGTACAAAAATAAGCACATTATGCATGTAAGTATGTCTTTACCTGAGTATCAGGGGTGTGTGGACTGACTGCTCATCTCATCTGACTTATAAAGTCCTTGTTATCAGAGCAGCTGCCCCAACTCTGCTTATGTCAACAGTCAACACGTGGAGGGTCACACTGATGATAGAACACACACACACACACACACACACACACACACACACACACACACACACACACACACACACACACACACACACACACAAGGTGATGTCATGCCTCTAACTGTTTAGCTGTTATAAAACGTACCCAGATTTTTTGCCACATTATTGAAGTGAAATGAGGATTGAAGGATTGGAGAGGATCAAAAAATAAGAATAAAAATGTTTCCAGCAAAGCTCAACAATACCTTTGGAATTTTGAGTGAAAAAAAAAGCCTAAAGTAAGTTAGAAACACACCCTGCACAGAAGAAATGGCCTTCACGTCTGCAAATGCTTGAAAGTGTATTACACTTGTAACCCTAATAGCCAGCAAAGTTAACTCCACTAGTGAAAAGAAAAAATAAAGAGTCTGACTGTACTGAACTCATTCTCGTTCTCATTTGATTTGATACCACAGTAGCTTCTGGTCTCAGACACTCATTTCAATACAGTGTGGGATGCAATTTGCATACTATAGTTGGATTTATAGCAGAAAAATGTAAGTAAGAGGTGTATGCTATAGGTTGTGGCTACCTTGTGATTGAGAAGCCATTATTTCAAGTAACAAAGGTGTAGGCTGGCCTATTTATGTCAGCGTTTTGTACCTTTGCCCCTTCTACACTGTCACGGGAGATAACTGATAACATTTGGAGCACCTAAAAGCAGCTTTCAAGATTCTACTTAAAGAAGTCTGATGTTCATTTTATGAATTACATGAAAACCTTTTCACCCAAGCTAGCTAGTGCTAGTTTCCAGCTGTACTTTAGCGTTTAGACAGGATCTCTTGTTTCAGTCCATCTACCCCCTTTTGTAAAATTATTTTCACTCCTGGCTACAACCCCCAGCAAGAACAGGGTAATTATCAAAATGCAAAAACAAAGCCTACAAACCCAGTGGGTAAGTTTACACTGCACAAGAGGCAGCTAGCTCAAAGTTCACATTATAATGAACTAGTTCAGATTGCATGACTACATGTTGTTTAATGAAAGGAGAGCACAGGGGTGTGCTGGAGTTATTTGGCACATTCTCCCTGTGCTAGCACGGGTTCTTCCAGGTACTCAGGCTTCCTCCCAGAATAAATACATGTATGTGATAAACAACCTCTTTTTGTGGCACTTTTTTAGATTCACCTCACAGGAGGTTGACCTGCAGATGCCAAAAATGAGGACATGACCAGGATGAGTCTATCACAGACTGACAGACAAAGTTAGAGAGGCAAGGTTGAGATGGTTGGCACAGATGATGTGCAAATGAAGAATAGTGGATATTTTAGACAAAGAATTTGCTCTTTGCTTAGCACCTCTTTCATTCTTTCGTTCTAAAAGGCCTTAAAATGTCTTTGTCCTCACCTCCATGCTAAAAAGCAAAAAGAGGAAGAAAGTTGGGTAATCTGTGCAAGAGGTAAATGTCAGTCTATAGTTCATGGAAAGGTCTCATTCCTCCCAAATGTGGACATTTTACCTTGAATTCTTGCAGAGGTTTGGATTTATTAGGGTGACCCAAACAAGTTTAACAATGTCATTTGCAGACACATGTGAACTTCGGCCTGATTTCTGTCTTTTTACGTCAAAAGCTCATTTTACAAGAACCCAGACTACGTGAATATTTGCACTGAGTAACTTGTTTGACTTGCAGTCAAGGTTATGGCTTTCTATGCATCATTCCCGACGAAAAGTTGTTTGTTGTGTGTTTTGTAGTCTTTAAATTGTGTAACAGTTCAACGAAATGTGTTTTGGGCCCGCTCACCAAGCTTTGGTTTATCATGGATTGCTTTGGATGCTTGACAGAGAAGAGTTTACTCATCAGTGTTTGTGCTGCTTGTAAGAACAGAAAAAAACAACTCACGTAAACAGCGCGGAGGTCCTTTTAAATTTTTGAGTTGCTTTTGCTTTTTATATTTTTATGCTGCTGGTAATAAAATCTGTGATATTATTTAGCAGCTCTTTGTTGGCTATGTTTACTGTTTCTTGGTAAGTGAAATGTGCCGGCTTTTTCCACCAGTGACACGCGTATGTGGGTGAAAGTTGAACGCTGCTCGGTTAGATAAATTGCGAGTAGTCATCAGAAGATCATAGTTCATGGCTACCCTAGTGGAATATCTAGGTTATTCGTATGATCTAAAGTCCAGTATCTATTTCACTACAAAAACAGCACAGAGTGAGAAAGACTTTGGTTACTGTACACAAAAATGGACCTGCTGGCTCCTCTTTGCACTGAAGAGTTTGAGCATATGTGACTCTTGTCACACGTATATGGTGAGCTGAGGGCACATGCATGTATAACCACGAGTTTATATTTCTAGAAAATGATGATATAGTTTAACATTACATAAAATTACATAAAAGTGGCATTTGTTGATGCAAATGATCTGTCGCTTTTGAGCCACACAGACCTTGACCTTAGTTTCATTCCACTTTCAGCTAATTTGCAGCAGCTATCAGAAAGTAAACATAAACGGACAACGCAGCATTCGACAGGTTTGTGAGACTGGTTCATCAGCAGGTGAAGCTAAAGCTTGCACAATGACAGACTCTTGATCTGATCAGTTATCCATACCATACTTGTCATACTATGTGAATTTAAAAGTTACCTCTGTGAATGGGAATGGTATTTGAGAACTGGTTGCAAGCTAAAAAGATTCTGTAAATAACAGGATTCTCTGTTCCTTTTATCAGTGCTGGTGTGTTTTTCTGACAGTCTCACGTCATTGTTTTGTGACGTGAGACTGTCAGAAAAACTCTGAGCGGCAGAGGTTTTGTTCATCCCAGTTTCTTGGAAGCCTTTATTCTTCTGTGTTTCCACACTGTTTTTAACTCAGAGATTATGAAGCTGCAATGACCCTGAAAACCCATGTAGACTTACATTTTTTCAGGAATCAATAAGGAAATCAATAAAGAATTTGACCTGTAAGCAGAATCTGCAGTGGCATTTCTGTACAAAAATCTTATTGATATCCTCTCTTAGATGAGACGCACCTCGTTCTCAGTAGACTCCTCTAAAGCAAAGCTGCGTTGTTGTACATCAGGAGCCAAATCATTAATCAGTATCATGGTAGCATTGAGAAGAACAAAAGCAGTAATGTGATCAGGCAGCATCAGTCTGTTTTTCCTTGCTGCTTTCCACCAGTGACCAGTCACTCCACTCTTACTGTCACCTTACCTTACTGGCCTTATAAATTTTTCAGCAAGCCATTGAAAGTTATGCAGATTAACTAGCACACTACTTACCTTGCATCTCTGTGGGTTTGCAGCATCTCTAGAAGTACTTTCCAGTCTATGATGAAAACAAGGATCATGGATTTAACTCTACTCATTTTTTCCTTCCACAGTCTGGAATAGAGTTGGGATTGATGTTCATCTGGTTTTTACTTCACTGGTGGACATATTAGCAATGCAGCAAACTTGCAAATGCATGGGGTTAGCTTCTCTGCGGTGGCTGTTTGCTTCTGTACTGCTAACTGTGACTCGTGGAAACAACTTCAGTGGACATAACCAAGAGAGACCACGCTGTCAGCCAGGTAGGCTGTTTTGAGTGCATAATAAAGTGGCATTATTCTGGAAAACATTACAACAACGCAAAAATAAAGAGAATAAAGAAAAATGGATGACAAAAGATTTGTTTTATAGTGTGTGTGTGTGTGTGACACAATGTTATTGTTTCTATTAGGTTTCTACTGCCCACTGGGGAGCCCCACTCCAGTCCCCTGTCCTAAAGGAACATATGGTCCACATGCTGGAGCTGTGTCCATGGACAGCTGTCTGAAGTGTCCTGCCCATCACTACTGCCCTAGACCAGGCTTGTATTCCCCCCTTCCCTGTGGTCAAGTGGCTCAGCAGCCTGTGCCTGGCCAGGACACTTGCATCTGTCCAGAAGAGGGACAGAGTTTTCAGGTGTTGTTCACTGGCTTGTTTTGTTGAAGTGTTTTTCACATGATTGGATCCACCCGGGTATTTGTGCAGATTGTGGGTTAAGTGTATCTATGTGTTCTCCCCATTGTTTTCATTTGACTTCATCTGACACATCACAGCTTTCGACAGCACTAGTCACACACTTCCTTTATTGTCTTGTGAGTTCATCCATTATAAATTAAACCCAAGGAAGAGCTCAAATTCCCCAAGCCTGTATTTTTTGTGTTAGGAAAGCCCTGTTCCAGTGGGAACACTTTTATAGTCGGTAGAGTATCTTCCTCACTTTCCCTCTGAAACATTCGACAGAACAATCTGTAGCTTCAAGCTCAATAGCTTCTGATCAAGTTTCCTCACTTCAGGGTCAAATTTCCTAGCCTGCTGCAGTGCGCGCAGGTGTTGAGATATTCTTTCATCAGCTCAGACTAACAGATATGAGATTTGTCTCGCTGTCATATCGGTGTTTGTGTATACAGTTGTATAAAAAAGGGAGGACAGGAAAATCAATGTTCAGACTGAGCAATAATAATACTCTGATATGTAGTAAGGTTCAAAGTGCAGTGTGTCTGTGTGTGTCAATGAATGAAGGAATGAATGAATGAGCACTTTGGAATATTAGGTAACAAACTGACCACAGCATGAACTGCTATCCCCCTGAGTTTTCCACAGGGCAGTGATGGACGTTGCCACTGCACCATCGGCTATCAAACCACCGGAAACGGAGACAAATGTGTACTACAACAGTACGATGTCTGCAGAGATGGAAAAACCCGTACACAGTATGGAGACTGCCTGGACAGACACCAGTGGTCATTTCACTGTAGTCAGCAGGTTATGCATTGTGCAATCATGTCACAATCAGATGTATACAGTCAAAGTAGGGCAAAGGTTCTGCCACAAAATGACATAAGACAGGAAACTCGTGCTCAAGATATGTGACACAAGTTCAGTTTTAAACTGCAGTCTGTTTACAGAACACACTGACTAAACATATTAAGCAAGGCTAATGAGTACAAACCAGTCTTTGCCCTCTCTTACATGAACCTGACAATAGTTTACCTAGCACAGACTCATATTAAGTCCACTTAGCATTTAACCATTAATTACTGCATGAAACTCTAACTTCATTAGCAATGCTTTCACAGTTCTTTCTGTTTAGAAAGGAGACCACTAAAAACTGTGAGCTGATTCTTGCCCTGCCTTTTTCCTGCAGGTGTGCCATACTGCAGAGGACTACCGGGGTTTTGATGGGGAGCTGGGCCTGTGCATTTGTAGAGAGCCTCCTGGAAGAGCTGCATGTGGAGGCCTTTGCAGGAGCAGGACAGCTGCTGAACTGAAGCTCCAGTGCGAGACCAATGGGGAAATGGGACTGGTGTGGAGCTATGACAATCAGGTAAAGAAAGGAAATTGCAGGTTCATGCACCGAAGCACAAAAACTGTGTGATAACTATATAATGTAACATTTGCACTGAAACTATCATATGATGGACAGTTTTTAGGTATAATATGCACGCATCTATGCGAAAACCTCTTTATTTCTCCAAAAGAGAAAGCTGCAGACAGTGCTGCAGTGACCTATTAATGGCAAACACACTTATTGTGTGTGTTCAGGTGTCGAGCGTCTCAGGCAGTGTGCTAGAGACAATTTTTAAACAGTGGGACTCCCAAGGGAACCTGCAGTGCAGCAGCCAGATCCAGTCATCACGTCCTGTCTACATTGTTCAAACAACAGGTGGAGACGCAGCCGCACACAATGCCTTTTATGTCCTGCACTTTATCGCTTTGCAGCTCCCCCTCTCTTTCTCTCTCTAATACCCCCCTCCCCCCATCTATCTGTCTTCTTCCTGTCTGATTGCAGATGCAGGCTTCCTTGGCCTCCTCAGCGGCCTCCCAAAGGAACTTGAGCAACTGTTTCCTGACACCGCTCAACAGGATTCTCAGAGCTCAGCTGGTGTGCCATAATAAAACAATCTTTTCACATCATGAAAACACAAATGAATGCATGAGCAATTTTACCCAAGTAATTGCTGCAATAATGAGGGCACCGCATTGTGGATTTTCAGGGAAACATTATGTCAGTATTAGAAACATCAGTCATGGAGACACAGAAAAGGAGAGAGGAGATAAGGCTGATATTAATGGAAAAGGAAGAAGGCCAAGCATAAGTGGCGTTTTGAACCCGACAGCATGTCTCCATTTGGGTGATGTAATACTCTTCACTGTCAGCCCACGTCACTATCCCCAGTATGACATGTAAGCTGGATACTTGTTTTCATGCCCATTTTCTCCTGCCTCTGTTTGTACATTTTTTCCCAACTCGCTTATTTATGTCTTTCAGTGACAACTTGTACAACACAAACACTGACTTTGACTGGGGTGCATTCAGACAGTTAAAAGAAGAGCTGGCATTGTCATGGACTCCTCCTAGCTGCTTTGCTGTGGTCTTTAGCCAGCTGGGAGTATATGTCTTTACACCGAGCAGCCATCAGCACAAACATTTGGTAACAAACTTTACAAAAATACACAGTTATGCTCAGAAGTTTAAGGACTCATCATAGTTATGGTTATTTTGGGGATTTTTAATGATTTCTTTGAACTGATTGTGAAGAGTAGGACTACCTCCAAGGTCTTCAACCTCACCTCAGATCAGCAGCTAGATGGTTGAAACTTGGACAGAGTCGAGTGCTCCAATGATGACCCCAAACACATTTCAGAACTGGGTTTGATATGGATAAGGCAGGCTAACATTAAGCTTCTGCAATGACCTTCCCAAAGCCCCAACCTCCACTCTATTGAACATTTGTAGAATATATTAAAAGCTTGTTCCTGACAGGAAACCAACCAGTCTAAATTAACTATTCTGCCAAGAAGAGAGGTCAAATATCCAGAGGGAAAAATGCCATACGCTTGCTGTTGGCTACCAAAAGCTTCAGGTGCAGTTTACTAAGGGACAATGAACCAAATAGTAGTGTGGGTGTATGTACATATTTGAAGTCTTATGTATGCTTTTGACGCTGTGTGGATTAGAGACAACCCAAAAGAAATTCAAGCTTGTGCACCAGATTCTTCGTTTTTAAAGTCATTAAACATGTATGCTGTACAGTCATTTCACCCTGGAAAAGAACAGTTCAAAGAAATCATTAAAAGCCCAAATTGCCACGACATTTATGCACATGATGAGTGGATGTTAGCTTCTGACCACAGCTGTATTCTTTAAGCATACCTCGTGAAGCTAGTGTTATAAACAGCTACACCTTGTTAGTAAATAGCTATTAGGTAATCCACGTTTGTTCCATCAAACAAGGAAATTTAAGTCTTCTTCTTTTGGCTGCTCCACTTTCTCTATCCCTTATATCCTCTTCCGCCACATCAATCCTCTGCATGTCCATCTCCATCTTGTCTCTTAAATGCTGAACTTAAGCTTTCTCTGTGATGTACTCATTTACAATCCCGTCCCTTCTAGTCACTCCCAACAAAAATCTGAGCAGCTTCACCACCTCCAGCTTGGCCTCCTGCTTCTTTGCCGATGCCGCTGTCTCCAAAATGTGCATCATAGCAGCTCTCACTACTATCTTGTAAACTCTCTGCTGTCCTTCTGTCATAAATCCACCCTACCTGCACTCTTGTCTTTACCTCTCTTATACAATGTAATGTAGGTAGTTTAAAAAACAAATTCCAATCAGTGAAGCCAAACACGATAACTTCCTTGATGTAGCAACAAGTAAATAGTAAGTATATAGTAAATGTAAATGTACACAAATTCTCTCTCTCTTTCTGCTATGCCACGATACTCTAACTACTTATTTTTCATTATTCAGTATGTACGAGTGATGCCTGCGGGTGGCCAGTGCTATGAGCCTGGCTCCTTCTTCCCTACCATCCCACGTCACGTGACCAGGTTGGGAATCAGTAGGAGACGCAACCTGTTACTCCGGCCAGACTGGCTGCTGACCGTAGGAATAATGTTTGGAGCTGTGGTCATCCTCTGTTTATGTGTGACAATGCTGGTTAGTCTACATACACAAGTATATATGACATATAAAAGTATCACTCTAATTGATGAGTCTGTACTATGTAGATCCTGTTTCGTGAATATGGATGGCCGGAGAAGGAGCCAATCAAAGCACGGTACCGCTCGCTGCAGCTGGCCTACCAAATGGATGACTACTCGTCAAAAGGTTCAAGGGTGATCTCACAGAGAAAGACTCATCGAAACCAACAATCGAGAACGACTCGAGGCTCCATTCAGCCAGGTGGAACATTGTAGACGTAAACACTTTGACACTTTACTCATTCGTGGAAACCCTAAAGCCCAATACATTAAATAAATAACATAGTTTTCTCCACTTCAACTAATGCACCTGCAGAGTGTACACATATGGCACTTGAATGAACATGAAACGACACACTGACACATTGAGAACCCTTGTAACATCTTATGTAGCACTGGCAAGGACCCTAAGGTGAAATTTCCAACTAATCACTGCTGAAAAAAAACCTCTTTACATGCCCGATTTACAAAGCACCAAAATACCCCCCAAATCAATGTGACAGTACAACAAAAACTAGAATAATAATATGAACAAATAGCAGGTAAAGGCTTATTCTGAATTAAAAGTTAAGAAATAAAAATAAATTGTAAAATGTGTTTTTAAAAAACAGATAAACAGGGGTAGCAACGTAACATGGGCAGGGAGACCATTCCATAATAACTGAAAAAGCTTTGGGAACTGCCAGGAACAGCTTGTCCATGGACATCAGTGATCTTGAGGGAACTTATGGAGTTCCCTCAAGACCTTATTACTCCATTTAAAATGAATTCCTATGCCACAAAATGTTACATTTTCATATTAAAATACCTGTTAAAAGGGAGAAATAAGTACCTGCTACACACTTGTAAAATGTGAAATGTTTAGCAAGGCTTCTGTGTGTCTGTAAATGAACAGTAGAGAGGATGTTGCAAAACATGCTTACGTGTTTCAAAAGATCACATAACGTTATAACCCATCAAAGTTCACCTTGAGAAAAGTTATGGAATATGGATGAGTTTTTTATATTGTTGTGATCTTTTTCTTTGTGACGGTGTTTATTTTACAGCCTCCACAGAAGCCTCGGAGGAGTTCTGGGATTATGAGCACCAGGTGGATCTGGAGGCATTCAACAGCAACACCTTTTACAGCCTCCTGCTCAAGCAGAGCCTGTCTGTCACTACACGACTGGGACAGCTCACCACTGAGGTCTGCTGCTGTTAGTTTAAATGCCAATCAATCACAAAGGATGTCAAATGATAAACGCTTACTCTCTTGTCTCACTCACACACACTCATGCTTATTCTCTCAAGAAACACATCAGATAAGAGTATTCTCTTTTGCACTCTTAAAATAAAAGCTGCATATTGAATATGCCTATTATTGGTTTATGAATAGGCAATAAATAATTTAGCCCTCAGGTGTCTTTTTTTTCTTTTTTAAAATGAAGCTTCTTTGCAGGGAAGAATACAAATGTCTGATTCAGTCTGATTGGAAAACCTGACAGCTCCCAAGTACAAACTTTCAGTAATGCCCCATTGAACAGGACATTTTGTGGAGAATTTACAGCATAGGCATATGCTGCATAACCATCTCTTGCCAAAACAGAATATTTGCTATAGTGAACATTTGGAAGAGATCATATTTTTGTGTAATTTGAGAAAGAGCAACTTGGGAATGTTTGGAAAACATTTCTCCCAACACTGCGCAGAGTTAATTTATTAAAAAAAACAAACAGATTTTGGTTACAGCCCTCAGGACAGCTCAGGTATTAAAGATGTAAGTGGAGATGGAACATTTTGCACTGATGCACTTCTTGCAGCTTGCATTTCTCACTACTGCTATTTAAATGTGTGGTTGTTGCTTTGGGCTGTCAATAGATTATCTGGTTATGACAAACACTTAATGTTTTCTTTTTGTCTCCAAAATATGTGTTCATCTAGGTAAAAGAGCTATACCAAGGAGTGCTTGGGAAACTGCAAATACTCCATCCGCGTATGATCGCTGAGGAAAAGCTGGGGGAAGGTTATGAGATGTTAAGGAGGGAGATTGAACGAGAGGTGGTGCGACGAAAGTCTTTGGCCTCACAGCTGAGGACACTACTTGACAGTCAGCTGAAGGTTTACCTTTTATTAAGCTGCATATACATGTCAAATTATATTCAAATTTTTTAATAAAAGGTTTAATAGCAAGTGTAGCATCAGTTTGAGTAAAGTATATTTATATAGCATCGCTCAACAAGTATATACTTTCAGATGTAAAATTATTGCATTAGCAAGGTATACATGATCAAGTATGACTGGTTTTCTTCAGGTTCTGAGGCGAGAGCAGCAGGCCCAGTGGAGGATCCACAGTGTGTTCACATCTCGGCTCAGAGAGTGCACCAGACTACTGTCTAAGCTTTATAGTAACAACCAGACTTCCACTGAACTGTTCCAACAAATGTAAAGCTTTCATTTGTTCAGTTATTCAAGTACAGCCATGTGAAAAAGAAAGAGCCAGGTGTGTGTTTACTCAGTACCCCAACAGTGGAGATCCCAACAAATTCACCCAGGGTCTGACTAAAAAACCCCAGGAGCCACATATCAGACGCTACAGACCTCAAAGTTTATGACAGCACAATTCAAATTTATAGAACTGACTGACTGTCCTTTGGACAGATGAGTCCAAAGTAGTGATGTTTGGACATAATGCTCAGCACCATGTTTGGTGGAAGCCAAACACAGCATATCAGCACAATCATCTGATACTAACTGTCAAGGACAGTGGTGGAGGGGTGATAATCGGGCTTGTTTTGCAGCAACTTGCAGTCTTTGAGTAGACTCTAGATGGTAACATAGATGGCTGAAATTGGGTAACATAACAGGACAATGATTTTCAGTGCAGCAGCAAAGGTACAAGAAATTGGATAAAAAAGAAAAGAAGGCAGTGCAGTTGGCAAATCAAAGTTCTTAGTGAAATACAATGGTGGGACATTAAAAGAGCTGTCCATAAATGAATACTCAATTATTAATAATCAATTTATTCAGGTTAAAAAGTGATTCTACAAACTTTTGAATCATAGGATGTATGTCATTTTTCACATGCATAGAGTCCTGTGAAAACGTTCCTTTTCCACATGACTGTAGTAATGAGGAACCTTAGAGTTTAAGGGTTTAAATTCCCTTGAATATTCAATTTGCTGTCTCCCATCTTCAGTTTGATCCAGAGGTTAACATCACTGGTTGATGAGATGGGAGATCTACTGTCGGCAGAGTGCCACCGTCAGGGGTCTTGGGGCTTGTTGGGCGAAGGTATAGGAGCCAAACTGTTGTGCCCTGATACTGGAACTGTCCTTACCAAAGACGATATCTTTGGTGAGTCAAAACTCTTTCATTTGTTTATCTGCGCCTATGTTTCTTAAAGAAACTACACCATCTGCTGCTTATTAGGTGCACTGCAACATGCAGACAGACTGTGGCTGAGAAAAGGTGGGTTAGAATACATTATTGTGCGAATGTGTGTGTGAATGGGTGGATGACTGAATGTAGTGTAAAGCACTTTGGGGTCCTTAGGGACTAAGTAACGCACTATACAAATACAGGCCATTTACAGGCCATTATTAATTTGCTAAATGTTAGATGATGTATTCAATAAAATATACACTGTATGTTTTTGTTGTAAATCAAACATAGTTGTGTAGTCGCATAAAGCTGAATAACTACTGGGGATTTAAATTTACAAACAGTGTGAAAGGGTTTAAATGAAAATTTTATTTAGATGATTGATCACAATAATCTCCTCTTCTGCTTAACTCCAGATCCTCATGGGTCCATCCGTGTCTCTGGGGCTGTTTATTGTGATTCAGTCACAGGCCTCATAAAGCCAAATGCTCACAGCCATGTGCTGCTGAGCAGCGGCCACACGATGGCAGTGCCGCCTAATTTCTTTGTTCATCCACACACCGGTAGAGTTCTGCCCATTGCTGGAAACGTGGCCTATGATCCTGCCAGCTCTACATTAGTTTGCACAGCTGACCATTGTACAGGTATGAATTGTCTGTGGGTTACTGAGGAGGGCAATGCTAAATAAAACAGTCAAAGAAAAAAGATTTCATGTGAAATTAGTTCGGACTTTTTTTTTTTTTTTTTTTTTTTAAAAATAAAGAGCCCAATCAATCAATATTGTGTTTATGCTCAGAAAACACAAAACACCAATTTTGTATTTTAGAGATGAATAAATCTAAACTCACCAAGAGTCATTTTTAAAACCGTGCTATTAGAATACAATTACTAAAGAAGAACAGATCATTTGTGTTAAATATGTTACAACTTGACCAAAACATGCTGTTTCTACAAATAGAAAGCCTAATAGAAAGTTCAATGCTGGTCATTTCAAGCAGCATTGAACTGAATCAAAATGAATATAACCATTTTATGCTAAAATAGCTCATCTCATGGAAAATAACTTATGACACGCATTAAAGATTACTGAAGAAGGGCTCATATGGTTCATGAAACATGCCTGAGATCTCTGCATTAAAAAGCAATTATGTGCTGTTTTTAAATGATTCCAGATGATAACAGGAAGTGGGATAGTCCTCTCCTTCCTTTCATTCCTTACCCGACCTCCTGCCACTCAGACCAGCCTCTCCCCAGCACTCACCTCAGAGGCCTCCGACCAGGCCAGAGACTGCAGCTGGGGATTCCCATGGCAGACCCTGACAAAGGGGTCCCAGTACCTATTCTGGCAGTAACCATTCACCCCCAAACTGGGTTAGTCTACCCTCTGGGAAGAGTCCATGTCTGCCCTCTCACCCGCTTACCACAGCCTATACAGATTGGTTATCCTATGCTGGACTCCAGGACAGGGAACATTGTGCTCACCGTCGGGGTGAGCTTGGATCCAATAACAGGTTAGAGCTGCTGGAGTTCCCGTTACACTCTAGAGTACATAACTTCAGTCAGACAAACTTGTTCTGTGTGCCTCTGTAGGAGATGTGCTGCCAGTAGGTGGAGTCCTGCTGGGTGAGCCCTTTGTTGAACCACTGAGTGGGCAGATGGTGAGAGTTGGAGGTGCAACCATACGGGCTGGACAACTAGTGCCCCATGCAGGAGGATATCAAACTTTATTAGAAAGCAAGGTGCTTAATTAGACTGACTGCTTTTGGTTGCATTTACATAATAAGTATCGATATGATAAAATGTAACTGTTTCTATGTAACAAAACAAATGAAACAGATAATAGCAGATGTTTGATTCAAAAATAAAAACATTTTTGGAGTCAGAGTAAGATTTGTGTCTCACAGGTTCTGGCAGCATTGTTCAAAGTACTGAATGTGCTGAAGCCACTAACTGAAGAGTGGGGTTCAGATCAAAGTTTGCAACATGTGCAGTCCCAACCTGGCAGTGACAGAGGGAGTAGTCAACAAGATCATCTTCTCACTGCAGCCAAAGAGCTCCAGCAGGCCTGGGGGAGGAGTTTGCACTGTCAACTACAGCTGCAGACCAGATTGGAGATCCTGCAGGAGTGGACCATGGGTCTGCAGCAGGATGGAGGGACTCTGGGTGAGGAAATGCTTGAATAGTTTGTTTTGGGCAGTACAAAACAGTTAAAAAAAAACAACAACATTTTTTCTTCTCTCCTTTTTTTGTTGTTGCTTCTTTCTCTCTTGAGAAGCTCTTATCTTTTACCTTTAGGTGCTCTCTAAACGTTTAGCTTCTCTAAGTTTACTAAAAATACATTTCCCCACATGGAAAAAAAGTTAGCATTTCAATCTCCTTTTAGCTTTTCATCTTAATCTTTGCTCACCATCTACCACAAACAGTCTGGTTGCTGAAAGGAAGAATTACGAGGTGTTGGTCTATTACTCAGCCTATTGAAATGCACTTATTACTAACTTCAGAAAGTTTAATGAAGTCATTTCTCAGAGAAGAGAGATTCAGACTTGATACTGTAGCAAACATAAATAGTAAGAATGCTGAAATACACACTTCTGTGCAGAGGCCAAGAACAACCGAAGGTTGCATAAGCATACAGTTTTACTTTTATTTCTACAACCTACACAAGAATGCAAGTAGTAATAGTTACTAATTACTGATTACTTCTCCAAGAAAGTAATCCTGTTACTTTACTGATTACTTATTTTCAAAAGTAATTAATTACTTATTACTTAGTTACTTAGTTTACTTAGTTTACTTAGTTTTAATTTTTAACTTTATGCACACTGCATCAAGCAAAAATTAAATTATACGCAACAGTCTTTCACCTGAAGAAATTTGTTTAACATTTAAACCTATTTTCTGCATATTCGAGCATATAAAATAATGTTTTGTGTTTATACTCACTCTTTCAAATAGATGCAAGTAAAAGACAGCAAATAATAAAACACAAAATCCTGTCACTTTTACATCTAGTTTCACCTGTTTAGCAGGAGTGTGGTCTGGTGCTGCAGCGGTCATGTCTGTGGGGGGATCTGGGGGTTTCTCTGTGAATTTCACATTTCCGTTACAGCGTGCTCGGTGCTTGCTCAGATTTGAAGTTTCCATTTTTTGCTGTAGAAAGAAGTTTTATTCCTATGCAGAGTGTACATCAGACACTAATGTTTGTGTCACTTTTTACGGAGTCAAACTCCGTAAAAGTAATGTCAGTACTTCCAAGCTTTAAGCGCTGCACGGTCGTACTCTCTCCCGTGCTCCATATTATCCATTGCTGATCTACACACGTCTGTTGTTGCCATGGACGTTGCACGCTCGTACGTCATTGTCATGAGACACTCTTACAAACAATCATGGTTTAGTAACGGAGTAGCGCAGCCTGTTCATGAGAAAGTAACAGTAATCTAATTACTCGTTACTTGAAAAAGTAATTGGATTACAGAAACACGTTATTGTCCATCTCTGATCACAAGATACTGAAAACATAACACGATCAAAATGCTCATAATTGATGAACATGGTTAAAAAAAATCACCAAAGGTGTAAGTACTGATAAAATGTTGTCATTGCTTTTGGTTTTTATTCAGTAGTCATGGCAACCAAGTTCTGTACATTCAGGAGGCAATTAATGTGTTTTTAATTGAGGCAGGGGAAGAGGCTGTTGAAATATTTGTAGGGATGAGGAGACAAAGACGTGAAAAGGCCTTTATATCTTTTAAATATAGATTTATTTCTATTTTGTATTTACTTTTGAAAGTTGATGTAAATAGCTTAAGTTACAATCAAAGCAATACCTATGACTGTTTGTAGGGGGCTTAATGTGATCCATCAGGCAGTCAGCAAAACACAGGATTTATTTCCTGATATAATTAAGCTGCAGAAAATTTCTGAGACATTCTGTTTTTGATATAATCTTGTGAGTCATTTAGTGATCTCAGCATGCTAAGGTCACAGGCTTTAACACCCAGCTGCACCAGAGTATCGTCAGCGTAGCAGTGATGAGAAATATCTCATAATTGCATGTCAGGGGAAAATGAAACTGAGAGATAAAGTGGGAGCAAATACAAAGAAGATTTACATAAACTGTAAATGTGAAAATAAGTCAAAGGATATTTAGGCTCCACAGCTTGGATTTCCCCAAGTGTGCAAAATGAAACTCATGAGCTAACCTACTTTTAAGACTGAGGTCAAAATCACCAAAGCAGAAAAGTGTTGCACATTAGTAGAAGTAGAACACAGAGACATGCAAAGCCTAATGTATTTACTGCAAAAATCAATGGTGTGGATATTAATTGGCACCATTAACAGGGAACTGTTGATTTTAAAGGCATCATCATAATAGTGTAATTCATACTTAAAATACATGAGAGTATAGTTCGGAACTTTGATAATCATAGAAGTAAAAGTGCCCAAAAAAATAATACAAAAAATAACATAGTAGTTTTTTTGTTTTTTTTTAATTTGTTACCAGTAATTTGTAATGGAGTAGAATTTAATCTTGACAAAACAACAATAAGAAAGAAGGTTTCTTTGATTTATTAATTAGGAAAAACTTGAATTCTGATAACCCTTTGTCCCACCAGGGGTTAATGTCACACAGACAATACAATTCACATTGTCACACCCTTTCTTCTGTGACAAATGACTTCATATAACTGTGAACTGTTGTTAGTGGTGTGAATCATCCCTACCATCGTGTCACAAATATGAAATAATTGTGGTGGTGTGAATCATAGGTTTGCAAGGTGTGGGGTGCCCGAGTCACACTCAATTCCAAATTATAGATGCATAAAATGAATCTTGTTCAACGTTTATTTTTGCACAGCCCATTGTGATACACACCCCTCAAAGTCCATGCTTTTGAAAACAGGAAGATGTAGCCATTTTATTTATTGTATTGCACATGGGAATATGCACACCATTTGATTTGCTTTTTGGGTGTTTCTATAAAAAGTGAGTAAATATCTACTGCTGCTGAAAACAAAGGAGAAACATTTCATGGGTAATTTGTCTGTCCATGTCTGTTTTCAAAGTTTAAATTAGGTTTTGGAAGTGAAGAAGAGCTCCAGGACAATGACATTTACTAAGTTAAAGTTGTTGTTTTTTTTACATGACCTTTATATATCACAAGGAGCCTGTCTCAAAAAAAACAAACAAATAAATAAATAAATAAATAAAACAAAGCAGATATTGTACACACACACACACACACACACACATATATAAAATACACAAAGCATTTGCTAAGGACTGAATACGTCTTTCAGTTATTGGCTCCTCCTTAGTGGAACAACGTTAGTAACCCATAAAACCTGAAGCGTAATATGGCTTTTGGAAATGAGTCATTAGCCCAAGGAGAATGACTCATGCCTCACTTTTTTCATATGACCTTTTTCCGACACAGAAAACAACCTGAATTAAAAAACCTTGACCTAAAAAACCTTATGAAAATGTGTTTTGGTGATATTGTTCATGTGTTGATTATTAGAGAATGGTTAGAATCAAACATAACAGATTTTTCACAATTTGAGAAATCAAAGTGACCGTTAGTTTAATGGCCAGTGTCTGTTTTTTCAGCTGGAAATTAAGAGACATTTAACTTTTTACAGCAGACAGGCCAGCCTCTAGTTAACCCAAGTAATGTTAAACCTCTAAGCTAAATTTGGCTGCTGCGCCGAGAAGTATGCTTGACTTTTTGTTGCTATTGGTTATGTAAAAGAAACATATTACCTTAGCTGCAGATAAAGCATATTTATAATTCAGTATGCACAAGAGCCAGAAATAATCCAGTTTTGATTTACATAGTTTGCATTGCAATCTCCTGCAGGCATGGAAACGTGTTTCTCCAGTAGTACAAAGTCCTGAATTCAAGTAATTAGAAATAGCAGATTGGTAACCAGAGAGAGTGTTAGGCCAAAAACCAAAATGCAGCCTTTGTGAGGGAGTCAAACAGTTTCCTGCACAATAGGAAACTACACGTATTAAGAAATTCCAGAAAGACTTTGCATAGAGTTTTGACCTTTACATGTTAATCTTTGAATTCAGATGTTTTTCAGTCCCACACTCACAGCTCCATAAAATGAAGCACCTACAAAAATGCTAATAAAAGAATGGGATTTTATAAAGAGTTCACTGAATTTGAGTAGTTTACAGTAACGGGATGTGATGGTTGCAACAAGACATTTCTTCCCCCCTAGATATGACAAACTGTAAGTGGCATTAGTGTACCACAGCCACAACAACACAGTCATGAAGTGTCAGACCATGTCAACTTACAGAACGAGGTCTTTAAGTGGTGAGCTACTTACTGCTCGCTCAATAACTGCACAGCTCCAAACCTTCTCTGACATTAACATCAGCACAGAAACTGTGCACTGGGAACTTTATGGCATGGATTTCAATATCTGTGCAACTGCCCATAAACAGTCACAGGTTTATATAAACTTTCGAATAACATGGTACAAGTCTTGGAATCTACAGCTGCTTGAAAAGGCTCCAAGAGAGCTTCCCAACTTATATAAATCTACAGTTTTTTGTAGATCTTGAGTGAGTTTCTTTGACTTTCCCATTGTAGTTGCCACAACTGCAGTGTTTGACCTTTTTTCCTTGATAATCATTAAGGTGATTAGGTTCACTTCTCATGATGTTTAACATGTTTTGTAAGATGTTTTGAGAAATCATGATCATGTTTCATTTAAAAAAAGGTTTTGTCTGCATTTATGTGTAATGAATGTAAAAATTCATTCTTTTTAACACTGGTTAAAAAGCCTTGATAGAAATATGTTAGTTGACAGAACTTGAATGATTGCATTTGTTTCTTCTTCTATAACACGCTCCTGTTTTGTTCATACCAGGAGAGATGCCTCTGCCAGGTTCAGATATATGTGTACCAGCTTTGCTAGGGGTGGAGTATCCTGATCCTTTAGGATCTGGCCTTAGTGTACCAATCCTGGGATTTCAGACTGATCTTGTTTCTGGGAAAACAATACCACTGGCAGGGACCATGGAGGACCCAAATGGAAAAGGTATTGTGAAAACATGCTTTTGATATATAGTATAAAACCTAATCTTGTCTAATTGGCTTTTCACTAGCTAGGACTGCATCCTCATTTAGGTTTGATAGCATGTCTAGGAGATAATGGCAGGTGGCGTGAGTATAAACTGAAGCTGCAGTTTGGGGAAGGCTTCAGAGGAGACTGGCAGCAGCTCCTGGGCCTGGCGGATCCCCATGTACTAATGACAGAGGAATTACTTGAAAAAAGAAGGGTGAGAATGAGAACTAACAGCTTGTAGTGCAGGTGAATCGTATCTAAACCAAGAACCGGCACAGGAGCGTTTGAAGTTTAGTCCTACTCAGGAAATTTCAGATAAATGATCTCCAATTAAATTCTGTTAAACATTACAGCATTGTGGAAGTTCTGCTTACTGATGCTGTTATACTTCACAGGACTGGTGGCGATCCGTTATGGATCTCAGACTGTTGACCCAGTGACAGGGCTGTTGGCCCCAGTCGTCGGGGCAAGGCTGGATGCATCTAGAAAAAATGTTGTGCCAGTCACGTCTTCCTACTGGTTAATGATTAGAGATCAAACTGACAGTGTGCAGGTAACAGATAGATGTTTTCACAAATTCCCCCTTCTTCTGGGTGATATATATATTTTTTATTTCTTCCTGCCAGGTGGAGGCACTTCAAAGAGAGGTGTGTGTGCGAAACGGTTACTGGCAGCAACAGAGGCAGCGGGAGGAAGATATTCTAACTGATCTGGACTCGACTCTGTCCCAGTGTTTCTTCAGAGTCACAGACGTAAACTCTTATCAGGTCAGCAGGAGCGGTTTCCTTTCTGGTTCTAAATATCTTCTAGAGCCTTAACTCGAAGTATAGAGCAAGAAATTCAAAGAGTTGAGTTGTTTTAACATTTACAAATAATGCAAATGAATCTGGAGCAAACACTGGAAAATAAAGTTTTCAATTTCTTTCCCTGCACTGCAAGTGAAAATGTTGTTCCTCCTCAATGTTCCTCTACATGAAGATATGAAAGTGTGTGTCTGTTCTCTGCACCTTAGAATGGGGATATGTGCATGCATTTGGCTTTTTAGTGTCATTGTGCAAATATGTGCATCTTTTTTTCATTCACAGTGTCTGTACTCTGTTTCAGGCCCAGTGGTCTGGGAAGCAGCTGAGGGAAGCAGCCATGGAGCTGCAGGATTCAGCACAGACAGAGGCCCAGAGGAGAGCAGCTCAGCACTCGCGCTTGGCTCTGATCCTGCCTCCACTTGTTCTGCACATCCTCACGTTAGGTAAATTATTTGGCAAGCTGGTAGGGTTGAATGAAAGCACGAAGGAAATTATAGTCATGACCTGCAGTGCACTTATATTCATAGCTTTCCAAAGAAGAGTGGTTCCGTGCCAGTGACTCACAGCACACTAATTAATTAAAATATTATTTTTCTTTTTATTTGGTTTGGCAGGCATTTAAGCTTATGTTTCTCCATCTGTGGGAACAGGTGATGAGGAGGAATGGGATCAGCAGTGTGTTTGGCATTCAGAGCTCCTCTCTGGCCTTGATAAATTGGACATGTATATGGATCAGCTGCAGGAGGAACAGGAAAAATGGATGGCACAGGCAGGAGATTGGTCTACAAACATTCATGCTACAGTAAGAACAGTTTCTTTATGGTTTATTGCTATCACTTCAGCTGTGTGAGTGACACCGTTAGGCCACTTCCTCTTTTATGCCAGCAGTAAAAAATGTATGCTATAGAGAGGTTTTGAACGTCTTGTAGTTAAACTTTAACAGGGTACAGGGAAGAGGTAGAGATTTGATTGGGTGTTCTTGTCTAATATTTTCATGTGTGTGCGGGTGCACGGGTATGTTGGTATGGGTATATATATATATTTGTAGGTTGTGTATCCTTTGAGGTGTTAATGGGGTTATTGAAAATGTGTATATGTGCGTATGTGTATATACGTATGTATGGATAGATAGAAACATATGTGTATATATATAAAAAAGAAAAAAAAAGAATAATAATTAAAAAAAAAAATACACATGACATATAATGTAATTGCAAGGAGGTATTTCTGTAGTCTATAGATTACTAGATAGTGGAAAAGGGGTGGGATTAAATAAGCTCATGCTTCTTCCTGCTCCTTTTTGAACATGAAAGTTATTTGTAGTTGTGGTTGCTCGTTTTCTTTTTGTTTTGCTTTGTTTATTTGTCTCTTTTAATTCTATGTTGTTGCACTTTTTTAACATGTTCAAAATAAAGATTCAATCAATCAATCAAACGCCAGCTCTTTGCTGTGAAAAGCACTCTCTAACACTGTAAGTAACAAGGCTGTCATTATTTTTCTTGCAGGACAGAGAGCTGAGACAGAGAGAGCTGGTGGAGCAGTGTTGTTCCAGACAGACTGAGTTGGAGGCCGCTCTTAATCCACTTCACTTTGTCAGACACCTTTCGCTGCTCCGTGCAGACACTGCTCAGGTGAATAAAGAACACTGAATATAAATAAACCCCTTAAAAGAAATAAAAATAGCAGAAAACAGAACAGATATTTTTATCTTTTATTTTGCTCTCAGTTTTGTTTGAACCTTTAGTAAACAGCCAAAGTGAGGTGAAAGCAAGCTTAATCTCTTCACTATCAAAGTTATGGCTTTGCTGGTAGAGTTTGCATGGCAACTCATAAACTTTTAAATCAATCCTGATAAATCTTTGATAAAACTTTGTAGGAGTGTACAGTGGGGTCATTTTAACAATCCTTCTAGGTCTTCAAGGTAAACTAGAAGGTAAAAGTAAGACAGTGAGGTGCTTTGGTTCAAGATTGCACTCTTGTTGTATAAATGCATAGATTGTGTAACAGTTATGTTTTTCTGCTTGACTGTCTAGGCTGTACTGTGTGGGAAGTTTTGGTTCAAGGAATATGGCCTGGTGCAGTACAGTGGATACAAACCGAATGTGAAGATCATGGGTTTGCTTCAGCAGAAGGCTTTGCCTCTGCTCGAGAGACTGAACCAGCTCCTTGAAGAAAAACAGCCAGCTGGATTCTCCTCCAACACATGCAATCAGCACATCTCTGGTACATAATATATACTACAGATTGCCCTGAAGAAAGCACAATTTCCAGTTAAATAAAGGCAATTTTCGGCTTTTCTACATGCCATTGGATGTGCCAGTTTAAGATGTTTGTATATAAAGTCTTTGCATAAAACAGAAAAACCATCCATGCAAGTACTGGGCCCAAAAAAAAAAACCCATAAGGACACAAAAAAGCATACTGCAGAACTCAACTTATCAACTTATTTCCTGTATCTTAGCAGTGCATGATATTTTGAGCACACCTGCTTTTCATCATCTTAAATCAGGGATCTTAAATCACCTGTGACTGGTCACATGACCACAACCCAAGACAATCAATCATGACAATCTCCAGAGCTCATGCTTATTTTAACTCACACATTTTAAAAATGTTCTACAGAACAACAGAGGCCTTTGAGACAGCCTTATTTCTCTGTAGTACATTGAACTTAACAAGCAATGAAATCAACATTTCATGTTAATAACAATAATAACAAATAATATTTCTGCATTTCAAACACTCAAGGACATTTCCAAGACATAAAAATTGACACCTTTAATAATAACACAGCAAAAGTTAAAAATAAAACAATCGTACCGTGGGACTAGACCAAACTAGATGATATAAAGTACAGTTAGGCCGATGGGGTTCTTTTTTGGACAGTTTCATAGTTTTTGTAATTTTGCCTTGCCAATTTTGAATTGGATTCACTGTTTGAAAATTATTTTATTACTTTATTATTACTTTTCCCAAAAGTAATTAGAAAACTAAATTTAAAAAAACCCTGATATTTAAAACTATATAATATATATAGTTTTAAATATCAGTTTTTAATACTTGAATACTTGATGAAAGTCTTCTGCTCTGTATTTGCATTAATGAGAGCATCTCTTAACGTTAGAATTTGATACTGATACATCTACCTCCTGCTACATATCTCACTGTATGCCCTGTTTTTTTAATAACCATGGAAATAATTCTGTCATCATTCACTTTAGTTGTCTTTTGTTTGGTGTTCTGGCCTTTTGGTGTTGCTGAGCTGACCAGTGTGTTCTTTTTTTCTAAATAATGTACCAGATTATTGATTTGGGCACTCTTAAAGTTTTTACTGCCTCTGTGAGAATTTCTTTTGTTTTTTTAATTTCTTCTCTAATGCTGGTCTATTCCCTTGCATCATCTGTTTGGAACCGAGAGTTAGGGAATAGCAGGCCTCACATGACCTGGAGTGGGGTGGGGCAAGCCATGTACAAAAATTGCTTTAATTCTTAAATCACTAAAACTATACTTTTGTTAATCCTGATCCTTTACTTTAAAAATCCTCTGTGATGGCGTACAGTGGGAAAATTATGAAAACTGTGCCATAATTCAAAAATGTACAGACTTCTAAAGTTGGATTTTTAATGTTTTAGGTTTGTCAACAAAGCAGGCATATGGTTTGGAGAGTACATCTAGAGTCTGGACAGCCTCAGTGCCTGTCGTCAAAGGTATGTGCCATATGAGTGTATATGTAGAAATAATGCATATAAGCATACAAATATGTTCAATATGCCAAAAAACACATTAAAGCATTTAAAGCAGTGAAACAAATGTACCTGCTGGCTAAGTTTCGGAGTAATCTTTGCCCCAAAAGAGAAAACACTAAGATAATAAAACGTTTATTGAGCAAACAACATATTGTGTAAGTCACTTGTCATGGTTTCCCCTTTGATTTTGTATTTATTTTATTTAATATTTTATTTTAAGCCTATGTATATGGTATGGATGTCATGAGATGCTGTGCAGCAGGCAGGAGTTGGACCAAAACACAAGACTCGAAACAAAACACTCTAAATACATGAAAACAAAACCTAAAATTGGAAACTGAGAACAAGGAAGTAGGAACAAGAACCAGGACATGGAGCTAGGGAGAAAGCTTGAAAACACAAGGAACAATGGAGAACACAGAGCAATGTGGGAGGGTGTGACAACAGAGAAAGACAAAAGACTGAGGGTAACAAGGGAATGAGAAACAACTGGATCAGACCTAACGTAATGAGACAGAGAGGAAGCAAAACTGAATACAATGAACAAGGAACTATCAAAACAAAACAGGAAACATGAGACACACACAATAAGACACAGAACAGAACAGAGGGAGCGAGAGACAAACATGGGAGCCAGAATGTAACATACATGATCGACATATCGACCAAACATGGAGCCACAAGAGGGAACAAACTAAATGAACAAGAAACAACGAACTAGAAATACAAA